ACCATAACCAGAGTATATCTTTTTCCACCAACACTGGGAGTTTCAACTGGTCCAAATAAATCCATATGGATCAGATTTAGAGGACAAGTAGAAAGATCTCCAGCTATGGGTTTGAATGAGGTCTTCACTTGTTTTCCTTTTTGACAAGCACTGCAGAGGGTCTCCTTCTTGTAGACAATGTCAGGCAGACCATCTACAATGTGTTCCCTTGCCAGTTTGTTGATAGTTTTGAAATTCAGGTGGCTAAGCTTCTTGTGCCAGTCCCAGCTTAGCTTTGAATTGTCTTTAGCTATCAGGCAGGTTCCATCCTTTGCTGTTTGCCAGTCAACAACATAGATGTTCTTCCTTCTTTTGGCTGTAAGAACCACTTCTTTGGTTGTCTCATGCTTGACATAGCATAAGGTCTTGGTGAATTCAACTGTGTAGCCTTTGTCACAAAACTGGCTAGCACTCAGGAGGTTGAACTTCAGACCTTTGACATATGAGACATCTTCAATGATTATCTGGTTCTTGATCAGCTTCCCTCTTCCTTTTGTTTGACCATCCTTGTCATTTCCTCCAAAAGTGACTCGGGGTCCATTGATTTTCTGGAACTCTGATAGGCAACACTTGTCACCTGTCATGTGTCTGGAGCATCCACTGTCAATATACCATTCTTGTTCTGAGGTGGCTCCAGCACACAGTTCCTGCAAGATTAAAAGGAAGATTTAGGTACCCAAGCAATGTTGGGTCCTGGGGGGTAATGCAGTTTTGGTAGTTGGTACCATTTTGGTCTCATCAACTGAAACCTTGGTGGATGATACCCATTGTCCACCTGGTAGTTGTAGTAAACAGATGTATGATTCACTTTGGGCAGATGCTTGTGAGGATCATGCGTTCTGTTTGCATACTTCTGCATAGCCTTCTTGGTTGGAAAGAAGTCCCATATACTATCAAGATCAGAGGAGCGCTTAACTTTAGACTTCTGAGGTTGACCAGACAACCTCTTCTGCCTATAGTTAATCTTCTCTTGATATCTGCCTTTCTGATAGCAGTTTCTGATACCATTGTCATGAGATTGTCTGATAGGGTTAGGCCGTTGATTATTATTGTTCTGAAAACTTTTCCTTTTGTTAGAGTGTCTGCCAGGTTCATTAGTTTTCAAACTTTGTTTTGGTTTGGCCTTTAGAGTTTGTTTTTCTGGTATGACCTTCTCATGAACAACTTTAGTACCAGAAGTACTAGCATGGCAATTGGGGCTCAGAGTCTGTGGCACTATGACCTTTTTAGCTTTAGCAACTTTGGTGCTAGGCCTTACAGAAGGCTCACCAGACTCTGGTTCAACATATCCAAGACCAGCGGTGAAGTTATGAGAATCACCAATATTCTTCATGGAAGATTGCATCTTCAGAAGACTATTATATCTATTCTCAAGTTCCTCAATGTCTCTTATTCTTTTCAGAAGAGACTCATTTTCAGCTTTCAGTCTATCTCTTTCCTCAGTTAAGAGATTAAGTTTACACTCAGTCTCTTTCCTTAGATCAGAGATATCAACTTTCAGCCTACTGTTCTCTTCTTTAACAAAAGAATAAGTGGCTTGGATAGTTTGGAACTCTTCCCAGAATGATGACATTGGATCATCATTTAAGGCTGTGCCTACCGAAGAAGAAATAGAATCAGAAGTGGAGCATACCTCATCATCTGATTGTGCCATGAGGCAAAGATCTTCAGTTTCTGCATCCAAGCAGCAGAATGCTTCATCAGAGTCGGAGTCTGAGCTGGACTCAGATTCAGAAAGTGGATCTCTCTCAGCTTGTTCTGAGACAAATGCTCTTCTTCTTCTGTGTTGATCATCTGGTTTCTTTTCATCTTCATGTCCTTGCTTCTTGGACACTCTTGGATAGGGGCAGTTTGCTTTGAAGTGCCCAGGCTGTCTGCAGTTGTAACAGAGGTACTCTTCATTGCTTTCAGAGGACTTGGTCTTCTGATGTGGTCTTCTGATGGAAGATGGACTCCTTCCATCTTTCTTCATAAACTTCTTAAACTTTCTGGCAAAAGCAGCCATATACTCATCAGATAATAGAGTAGAGGGGTCAAAGTCACTTACCTTTGAGGTGCTAGCAGTGAGAGCAGTGGTGGTCCTCTCATCAGGAACTTCTTCCTTCTCTTCATGCATCTCAAACTCATAAGCCTTGAGATCAGAGATGAGTCTTTCAGTGGCATAAGTCTTGATGTTCTTGCTTTCCTGGACTGCAATCACCTTCATCTTCCAGGCTGAAGGCAGTCCCCTGAGGATCTTCATGTTGACCTCTTTGATGGTGAGCTCCTTCCCAAGCTCAGAAATCTCACTGATGAGAATCAGCAATCTCTCATGCATCTTAGCAATGCATTCTTCTGGTAGGAGTTTGAAGTCATCAAACTTCTTCATTGCAATGGTCAGCTTGTTGTCTCTTTCTTGTTCATCTCCTGCTCCAATCTCATCCAGCTTGTCCCAGATTTCTTTGGCAGTTCTGCACTTCTTTATTCTATTGAAATATCTTTCATCAATAGCTTTGTAGAGAATATCCTTGGCAATGTTGTCAAGGTTATACTGTCTTTTCTCTTCCTTGGTCCATTCTGACCGGGCTTTCTCAATCATCTGGGGTTGAGAGTTGTCAATAGAGTGAGCAGGATTGATCTTCATGAACTGGATGAAGGGGCCGTTTTCCAAGACTTCCCACATTTCATCATGAAGGGCACATAGGTGTGCCTTCATTCTGATCTTCCAATCATCATACTTCTGATCTGTGAACATAAGATGCTTTGCAAGAGAATTATCCATAATAATAAATAAAGAGAGGCTAAGAACAAGTGGATCTTTGTTCAGAGAGTAACCTAAAAGATTACAAGAACAAGGAGGCTCTGATACCACTTGTTGGTCCCGTTTAATATGGTAACCAGTCTAGAGGGGGGGGGGGGGGTGAATAGACTGGTCCGTTTTTCAAATTTTCTCTAAGTCCGAAGTGACTTATCAGAGAAGGTCTGATTCTGATGACAGAGAAAGGCTGGTTCTGATATCAGAACTGGCCTTGGCAGCGGATTCTGATCTGTCCGGGTAGCCTCAGAAACACTAAGGCAGATGCCTTTCTGATAACTCTGAAAACAAGATCTGCTGAACACAGATTCCAAGTCTTAGAGTTACTCAGTTAATATCCTAAGTGCAGAAATATAAATTGCAGTAAAGTAAATGACACCGGATATTTTATAGTGGTTCAAGGAACAACTCGTTCCTCTAGTCCACTGTTCCACTAGCTTTGAAGTAGATCGGTTACAAAGCTTAGTTCCTAGCACTTAAGAAGTTCTCCACGCCTTCTTCAAGTCTAGCTGCCACCCAGGATGCAATTCCACGTCCTGATGGCTGGTCCTTTCACTCAGCTTCCCGGAAGTATCACCACTTCACTACTGCAGTTACTTGGACGCCCTTCTTTTCAGAAGATCCTTTGAAAAACAGAGTTTTTCCTCCAACTTGCTTCGTTACAAAGGATGTTTGATGAAGTTCTTGAAGTGTTGAAGAACAGGATGAACTTTGCTTGTTTGTTGGGGATGAGAGATTTGGAGTTTGAATCTTCCCAACGTAAGCTTGTCTTGTTGAAGGTTGTAGAATTTGAATCTCAAGAGAGCTTGAATGATGATGTGTAAGAGTTGTAGCAAAAGTTGTTTTCCAGTTCTTCGGTGTGTAGCTTATATACTGAGGTTGTCTGCCCGTTGGAGGAGGAGACAACTGCATTAAATGCGCGTACAGTTGACTTGACCGCCGTTTTTGGAAGGTTTCTATTTTTAAAATATATCTTCCCGGATTCCTTGGTCAATCATTTGCAATTAATCCTTCAGCGTATCAGGCTCATTTAATGTGCATTAAATGCTTTCCTTTCATGCACAGTCTTCTAGCCGTTGGATGTTTTTACCCGTTGAATTCATAGCTGTTGGATGTTGCTTGAAAATTTCTAAGTGTTCGTCGAGCTCTGATCAGGCTCTTCTGATATGTTGGATTCTGATGGCTATCTGATGAGTTGAGTTCTGATGGTCTTCTGATCTCTGACTGAACTCTGACTCTGATAGGTCCGCTGATGAGTGCTTCTGATCTGTAGTTCTCATCGGCTATCAGATGTCCAGTCTTATCAGCAACTCTCATGATGCAACTCTGATGGACTTCTGCTAAGAGAACTCTGATGGGGCAGTTCTCATAGAGCAAGTCTGGTCGAGTAGTTCTGATGCACTTCTGATCTGATCCAAAATAGAGCAACTCTGATCGTCGACTACACTAATACTTACAATTGAAAAGTCTAATACATAAAATCTAATTTGGGGGTACTCTAACTTACTAATCCTATAGCATCATCAAAATCTAAATACATTTATTCCTTACAACCCATAACTCCACTGATAAAAACAGACCAAGTTTAGGATATATAATGATGCCATTAGTAGTGGTTAGTCTAGCATGTAGCATGTCACAAAAGCACCTACTGCCTAGACATGAATTGCGTGTGGGATCGTTACAGACAACATATCTGAAAAATAGCCTGAAGTTTACAATATAAGTCAGAAAGTTATAAATTTAGGGAGGGTCTAGAGCTAGTAAACAGATCGGCTCACATCCAAGATAAAACACTGGCCTAGAAGCTGAAAGTTTCAAACATAATTCAAATTGATGTATACATATGGTGAAATTAGGAGGGGCCAAGAGAAAAATAACATAGAAAGTGGGATCTATACAACATTGCCAAAAGGGAGGCATATCCACTCCCCAAAGACATTGAGTTTCATAGAAATATAGTGCAGGACTAACCAATTAAAACATAGCTAAAGGGAGAACATGACTAAACTGCTACCATGTCCTTTTCTCATGGAGGAAAAGAAAAACAAAAAGACATGGGACAACTTTGAGAAACAGGAATCAAATGAAACGAGTAGGAAAATGAGTTCCAGCCTATATAAAGGTACAATATCCATCCTACATAATAATGGTGCAAAATACTTACCTTGGATACGTAGGAACGGTAGTCCATGCATAGTTGACAGAGCCTTTGAAAATTTGGCGGCAGTTTGTCACAATATCTTCAATTATGTGTATATGAAGCCATATACTCTCAGCCTGTGTACATACAACCCCTCCCGGACGAAGAGCCCTTGCCACCAATTGAAAGAAAGGCTTTTCAAACAGCTCTTTTGCAGGACCTGATTTAAAAAGTAGACAAGGTTCATTAAATCAAATACATAAAAATCATGAACCATGCGATTTGAGGGCAAAAAATAGGAAATTTGGCATTTGACTATTTGCACCCCATGTTTTATTTTCTTTGAACATGCACCCCAAAGCAGCCTCAAAGTGAAGCCAAAAGCAAAGGTTTGCAAGTTAATGGTGAAGTGAAAAGTCTAACGAATTGGGTGCAAAATCTAATGTAACTGACATGCATTGGGGTTGAACAATGAAAATAAAACATGAGGTGCAAAGTAAATAATTGGGGTACAACATGGGATGCAAAGACCGATTTTCTAGCGAAAAAAATGTATTTACCTTTGGGATCAGAAGAATCCACTATAATAGCATCATAGGTTCCTTCAGTCACATTTTTCAAGAATTGAACTCCTACAGACCATCAAAAGGTTCAACTTCCATTCTGAATGAGTATGACTATAAGCAACTCATCATCATTCATAAGACAAAACAGTGAAAAACAAAAGCAAACTTTTTACAGTACCATCGCCAATGTGGAGATTTACACGGGAATCCTCATATCCAACAGCCACATCAGAGAAAAATTGTTTTGAAACCTGTAGAACAACAGAAGTATTAATATTCCGTGAGCTTGCAATTTACAAAAGTAAAATTAGATGAGTATTGAGCAATGCACCATGCATAATATAAATTTAGTCACCGCGTCTTTTCCCTTTATAGAGAGAGTAAACAGAAATTTGTTAAGTATCCCACATCGAATGTTCTGATGTTCACTAGGTTCGATTCATAATATAATAATATATAAGCGTGTGTCAAATCTCATCTCTTGAGGATCCTATTTAAGTGAGTTAGACACTTAGACCCAATTGAAAATGGTTTCAGAAGTAGATCCCAATTTCCCATGGTGTTTATTTTATTTGTTTGCCACCTTCATGGTTCAGGTAGCCTGTTTGGATCACATTAGTCTAATTGAATACCTGTTCAATTGTGCAACCCATTTTGGATAGGGGGAGAGTGTTAAGTGCCCCACATCGGATGTTTAGCTGAGCTGAGGCTAATATAAATGTGTGAGAACATCGTCTCTAGAGAATTCCCATGGGTTAGTTAGGTCAAAACTGTCCAATTTAATATTTTCAATTTGATAAAACTAATTTTTAAAGCTCACTTACATCGACTACCATCTTATCAATCTCACATATGTCTATCTGCACAACTGAAGAATGGCGAGACACTTCGCGCAAGACACCACCGTCTCCTCCTCCAATGACCAATACCTGAAAAAATTGCAAATAAACCCTATATTACGTGACAAAATAGGGGGAGTAGAAAATTAATTCGTGATTCCAAAACTATAACATGCAACAACTTCTCTCATGAGCTATATCATCCTTAAAAACAACAGTATACGAAGAATTCAAAAATGATTATTTTTGTTTATGAACACTACGCAAAGATACACACTCTAATGTAAATTCATTTGAACAGAAAAGATATCTATACACAAAAGAGTAGATGATAAACAAATAAAATTCCTTGATTAATACTCCCAACAGATATTCACTAAACAAGATAGTGTACATGCCTTCTTGGGGTTCTGGATTGAACAAAGCGGGAGATGAGCAATCATTTCTTGATATGCACATTCATCTCTTTCTGTTAGTTGTATCACACCATCCAAAACAAGCACTTTACCATATGTTGAAGACTGCAAAAGAACCAATGAAGTAGTGAAGAAGTTCCGGCGTAAAGAGATACTACGTATAATACATACACATATACAGGTTTGGAAATATGAAACCTGAAACACCAAGACATCCTGGTAATCTGACTTCCCCTTGAACAATACACTTTCTACCTTTAATGAGTGTGCCTCTCCTACTCAAGAATAGCAAGTGAAAGATAATAAATTAAATCTTTTACCCAAGTAATTTCAAACAAAGAGAGGGTCTACAGTGAGACCCGTGATGATACTTCCACAAAGATTTTTTTGCAGTAAATTGAAAAAAGAATTACAAAAATTTACTAAAAAAGTAAAACTTTTTAGCAGCATAGGTGCTGTTTAGCTAAATGTAGCATGTCAGTTGTATCTTGCTAGTTGTTCAATCTTCGAAGTAAACACGCTTGCATGTCGTGAATTAGATATCTGAGTTGTTTGATGTAAGATCAGATGGCTTCAGAGTGAAAAGTAGTTGCCTAAACTCACAGGGTGAAAATGCTGTACAAGAGTATATCAAAATTATACATCTACGATCTCTAGATTATCAATGGTGATACATGACATGGTCGCATGGACCCCATAAAAACAGAGAAGTCACATGGGAGCAAACTTCCAGGGTATACTAAATATAACCTTTTCTACAAATCAGAAACATCAAGTAAGGGTTGGAAAAGAGCCATTCATTATACTTAAAAAAAGCTCATTCATCAAATAGGATCTAATAAAGGCCCCTTACAGTACCTTAGTACATTTTTCATAATGTATACGCTTTACAAATTAAATAAAACAGAAACAAATCAATGCATATATGGTTTCACTACTGATGAGATTTCATGAATGCGTGTATATTCTTTTGAGAACTGACCAGGCCACATTGGGCTAATCTCAGAGAACCAGCCGGGGATGATGGAGGAGAACTGCTCCTCATTGCCGCCGCCGTTGGTTGCGTTGTTGGAAGCTTCCATTTGAATACGGACGGAGACACCATTCTGTTTGTCCTCTCTCAGCCACTTCGCCGGAAACTCGCCTCCGCTTGCCGCCCCACTCTCTCCCATCATCTCCTTTATATGTGTTCCGCCGAAATGTATCGAGAGGTGCGTGAGGAGTCCGATTAGGACTTTCTGTGTGAGAGCCAAGTATAGGTTACTGGCTAGTTTTAGACTTTGGCACTAACATTTTGGCTGTGTTCGGCGCGAGCTTCAAGCTGATAATTGGCTGGAATTTTATAAATTCAGCTAATAAATGTAGAAGTAATACGGTTTGGGGAAAAGACTGGATGGGGCCGAAGTTAACAATAATGGGCTGAATTCAAACGTTGCCCAACCTAACGTTTGTGTTCAGTCCGTCACTCAATACCCATGTATGTCTAAACTATCGCTTGCGCTGGTTCGTCTCTACTACCCAAAATTATCCGTCACCTTCTTCTCCGATTACTGGCTATAATTATAATGATTGTGCTTCCAATTTCGTAATACTGCGACTCTGGAGTTCTGGCCAAATTAGATTACAGAGGGCCAATAAAATCCATACCCTGTAGCGTCGAACCCACGACCTACTGTTGCAGGGCCCGTCCTCACCGGCGCAACAAACAGTTTGATGAACTCTAGCTCTACGTACCGCTATGAGGAAGAAGAACAGGAGAATGAATTCGTCGAATATGTATTCCTCGAAGAAAGTGATATCATACAGGAAATCCCTGTGGTCTGTGGATGAAGAAGAGTTTCCAGAAGTGGTGACCTTTACACCGCCTGCTGCAATAACACTGATGATAGGTGCGGATAACCTATTATCCAGGTTAGCCTTCAAATGATGGCAAGCTGCTCGCATCAGGAAGTATAATGATGGGCTTACATTAATTAATAAATACAGAGTATTGAAAGATAAAAAGATTATAATAAACGCTGAGTTTTTTTCGAATTAATGTTAATTAATTAATTAATTACAAAAATAATGTTGGAAAAAAAGTATTTACCGATCTACTGCTGGGTTTAACCATAGTCAGGCAAAGTCGTCAAACTGTTTGGCGACTTATAAGTCGCCCAACCGTTGGGCGACTTTTCCCTTCCATATGAACGCAGACCAGCAGCTACTGCCAGCCACGCACGATCGTGCCTGCAAGGGTAGGCACGATCGTGCCTAATTCCGAAAACAGGATTTCAGCATGTTTTTTGCCCCGGTTCAACCCAGACTCATCTGTTTGCTATAAATAAGGTCTCTCTTCTCCTGTTTAAGTGTTACGAGCCAGATACAACACATTATAAAACATACATCACACCTGTTCACAAACACATACATAACACCTACTCTCAACAATATACAAAACACGTTGTAAATACCCTTCACAAATCGAATACAAAACCTTAGATTCATAACAGGTAAAACACAGTACAATCATCCAATATTCATAACAAGTAATCATCTTATATTCATACTCGAACACATCAAGACAACATACAAGAGTTTACAAGAGAAAATACGTAAAATGTTGTAAATTGTTCCTACAACATCTACTGTACAAGAAAAACTGCAATACAAAATACAAACTACAAGTTCTCATGGTCATCTTGATCATCTTGGTCATGGAGATGTTGTTGCTGATGTCTACGCCTACGCCGTGGACGTGGTTGAAGAACCACTCTCTCATGCTGCGTCTGGGATGATGAAGCCGCCGCTGCACTAGACGTCGATGACATGTCCTGAGATGGGGGCATGTGTATAAGATGGCTGTAGTCGACTCGCCCCAACACATCTGAACACAAGGAGGCAATGCCTGTCAGAGCATGTCCATACATGTCCACATCATGAGTATCACTCACTGTGGCAGTAGCCCGCTGATGTATATGCTGCAAAGCTCGTGTCTGAAATATGAAACACAATTACAATTAGAATGAAACACAATTACAATTAGAATGAAATACACAATTACAATTACAATATATAAAATGACTTACTTTACTAATTACTAATATACTCACTGTAAGATGCAAAGCCAAGGAGCTAGGCTGATAATGGTGAGTGGGGAGTCTGAACGAAGGAGACACAAACAAACGAGTGATGCTGTAATACCATCCCATGTAGTCTCCTGAAACAGATGGGACAAATTTCGGTGTCCCAGTCACAACTAGCTCAGCTCGCCTGTCCCACAAAGTGACGTATCGGACATGTCTCAGTGCCCAATCCTCCGTATGCTTCCCACGCCTATCCAGCCTATGAAGCTCTACATAAGTGTCGATAGGCCGTGGAATGACCTGCTCAAACCCAAACTGTCGCAAGACTCGATCAGGCAAACGAAGCTCAACAATGTCAAAACATACCAACGGCACACGTGCTCGCCATATGTGACTATGCTCTCGTCCAGCTGGGAGCAACTCTGCAAACATCTCGGCTGTATACGGCATCCATGTAATATGTTTCATAAAGATTCAAAATTAGTATTTATGCTATACATATTATAGTTAATGTTATATTACCCACACCATACCTGATCCTCAGACATCCGATCAAATGCATCGCTGTAGACACCGAGCCAGTAGCGGATGACATGCGACATAGACCAGCATATAGCCATCTAACCATTCATGTAACTGTTTCATTAATATGGATATTAATAATATATTTACATTCAACATACAATAACATATATACCAACGATTGAAAACATACCGACGGCCCAGAGGGTCCTCGCCGCATACATGATGTGGTCCCAGAAGACGTGGAGGCTCATCAGGCAGTGGGTGTCCATCAATGCTATGATATGCGACTACAATGGGACGCCCAATGTGGATATACTCCCATGACCAAATCTGGAGGAGTAGCAAAAATTCTCCAAGCTCTGTGCGCCCTCTATGGCAGCCACGACACAGCTGCCTGTAAAGATAAGCCAGTGTGGCACTACCCCAGCTGAATTGTGCTGCTACATCAAACCTCTCTAGCATAGGCAAGTGCAGCACCTGAATCTCATTTCCGCTCTTGTCAGCGAAAATGGAGGCTCCCATCATCATCAAGATATATACCCGCGCATGCTGCTGGATCATCACCTCATCAACGTCCGGATGAAGCACCTGGAAGTGCTCCCTCAACCATGACATCCTCAGAGATGACCCCTGAAGGTCAGTCCGAAGAACGGGGCGGACACCTAACAACCGCTCACACTCATCTACCCACTGTCAACAAGCAGTGCCTATAACAGCTCTCCCATCAACCTGTAACCCAGTAAGTACAGCAACATCTCCCAAGGTCACTGTCACCTCATCAACAGGGAGGTGAAATGAGTGTGTCTCCTGCCTCCAACGCTCAAGAAGAGCAGTGAGTAGCGCTCTATCTAGAGGCACAGTAGCCACTAATCTGTGCAGACCATAAAAACCTGCAGCACGAACATAGGCAAGTACTCTGTCGTCCACGTGCATAGGCGATAAACCCCGCAGGTGCTCGCGGCACCTATCCACCTGAACATCCAGGCCAAGCCAAACATCCTCACTCCTGTGTGAGGCCTGCAATGTCAGGACAGAACCATCACTCGGCCCAGGATCCGCTGTCACCTCCATGCCTACAAATAAACAAAATTATATTAGTTAATTTTTACTATTATACTAATTCTTTTTTTAATAATCCATTTTTGTAATTAATATTTTTTCTTGCAACGAAAAGATGATTTGTGAATTACTCTAAATAAAACCTTACCCAGCGGACCCCCCCTCGTGTCTTGACGATCTCTTCGCACATGTGGCTCTATTATGGCCGGTTTGGTGGCATTTTCCACATCCAACCGTTCCTCGGGGACCTTCATCCATCTCATTCTTAATACGTGTCGACTTTGGTCTTCCCTTAGCCTGAAGCATGGATGGATCGTGCACGATTTCGGGTCCATTGTAAGTAGGCCAATAATCACGATCAGGAATGGGTTTGAAGACTCTATGATATGTGGCGGCGCATTGGTCAGATGAGAAAAACTTATCCACAAATGGAGCATAAGACAAGCTACGTTGTCTGCACACGGCTAACACATGGGAGCATGGAATCTTATATATCTCCATCTTTTTTACAAGTGCAAGTTTTCCGTTGTAGATGGACAGTTTGTTTTCTCCCACCCTTCCCCAACGTTCCGCCACCACAACCGGTTTCCACTTGAAATATACCTCGGCCTAAATCAAATGGAGTCACAGTGTGATGCTTCGCCTTCTCTCTATTCTTATCAATTACATCTGTGATGTGTGGGGAGTACTCGTGGCCTTCTGTCAGCCTCATTTTACTGGTTTCACGCCTATTAACAAAATAAGCATTAACCCGATCAAAGGAAACCTGGACCAAAGCGGTGATGGGCAAATATCTGGCATTTTTCATCACGTTATTGAAAACCTCTGCCAGATTAGAAGTGATGGTACCGTATCTGTACCCGCCATCGTGGTGCAGTGACCACATTTCCGGGGGAATGTTCCCCAAAAATTGTCGTGCCTCCAATCTAATTTCACCTATCTTCTTGAACCCACCATCAAACTTCTTTTTCTGATGTTGCCGTGCGGTCCAGACAAAAAGATTTTTTTAGATGAATGTCTTTGAAATGAGTGTGCACATTCGATGCAAGATGGCGGATACTAGCCTATGATGCGCATAAGGCTCCTCCCAAGTACTGCCCACCTCATTCATTGCCCTGAAAATACCTCCATGTCTATCAGAAATGACATACAACTCCCTTTTAGTGACAAACTGCCTAATACATGCCATAAACCATGGCCAACTATCCTCATTCTCAGATTCAACAACTGCAAAGGCCACTGGAAATATTTGGTTGTTCGCATCACAACCCATGGCCACGAGCAATGTATCCTTGTACTTTCCATACAAGTGTGTGCCATCAATAGTAAGTACGGGTCGACAATGCTTAAAACCATGTATTGATGCCTTGAATGCCCAAAAAAACTCTTTGAAACTGCATATAACCTGTGGGAGTATTAGGGGGTGGGTACCACTGCACAATAGTTCCAGGAATTGAATGTTGGAGCGCTGTCATGAAACGGGGCAATTCAGAATATGACTTCTCCCAACCGCCAAATATTTCTGCTATGACCTTTTGCTTCCCCATCCATGTTCTCCGGTATGATACCGTATACCCATGCTTTTCCTT